AAAAACGAATTGTTTTACTTCGATAGCCAATTTGTATTTAAGTGCTGTTGTGTGAAGGCAAACGACCTGCGCCCGGTGTCAGAAGGGAACGTCCAATCTTGGTGAAAATGCCCTACTTTCAGGCTAGGTACCTGGACTTGAAGTTCACAGCTCTTGTGGTCCAGAGACTGCTGAATTTCTCTGCGTTACGCGTGAGATACGCTTACACGACCTCACTTCAATGTGACTGCAAAGTCTCGCATCTCTGCATGTAGGGTGCTATACAAAACCTCACCGACTAATTTGATCCGGCTTCGAGGAGTCATACTGATGCTGGATCATTTGATCATTGCAAAGCCTTCATCGCGTTTGCGGCATAATAGTAGTTTTAATTTCACGGTGCACTCAAACCGCATGTACTAAATTGGTTTCATTTCAAAACACCATCCCTGCTCTGCAATGTACCGTCCTCCTAATCATATCTGTGCAATTAATCTACGTACTTCTTCATTTAACCGCAGTCATCCGAACGCCATTGATTACAACAAAATTGACCATTGCTGCCACGCCTACTTTCAATCGAAGATGGCCACTCAGTGAGTTGAGTTACTGGCATTTAGGTCGATAATTACACATCAAACTCGATTTCTTCTGAAACCACAGCCCATTCGCAGGTAGACTTTTTCAACTTCTCAGACGTTCAGCCCAAAACTTTGGCTGATTTAGACAAGCAACGCAGAACCTTTAGTCATGGGCTAATAGTCGCATCGGTTAATTGTTTCAAATATAGGTTTGGTGAAAAAAACGGTTTGCCAGAATAGTCTTTTGATAAAGCATTGATTTATTTATGGGTTGGGGTGATTCGATGCTGAAGTCAGCCACGAGAATGGATTTGTGTGTGGACTGGTTGAGTGGAGTGGAGGCCGTACTGTTGTTCATTTACGGCCACATTAATAGCGTGTTTGTGCAGGGTAACAAGTCGTCAGTTTGTACAGGATAGCGTGACATTACTAAACATCGATCTCTAAACAAACATCGTACCGCGAAGAGTACTCAGGATGACTGATTGAATGCATTTTTTTTTATGCCTGCCACCAATGTTCGCACTCACAGAGGGCAAATTTCAAATTCCTGCACGAGTATGCTCAACTTGGAAGGAATATTTGACAGAGCCTCTACCTGACCTGCAGTTGGTCTATTCATGTGCGAGCTGAACATGAGTATAATCAGTGTGTGTGTGTTGACAGATATAATTTGCCGATTCTCGTAGCTCACCATCTCAGTGAATTCACTCCAGTTCTGCTTACCACAGCAGATTGCCAACTATCTGGTGTTTTAAATGAGTGGCCCATGATTTAATGACTATGTGCAGCCAGCAATAACTAGCTCCCAACTCGTGAGTGCAACGCCAACCACACAATCTGGAGATCGTAACATTAAGTCACGGACACATGGGCAGAAATGCTGGTTCACCCCCGTGGAGCCCGTGGTCAACACACGCACGTTGGGTACGCGCTCACACACGCAGTCGTCCGACAATCACGAGAGCGACGCGGTCACATCCAACGAACCCACTTCCAGCTAGTTAAGCCCAAACCAACTCAAATCACTTAAAAGCTGTTGTTGAGTCGGCGGCGGCTGCGGCGAAGCAAGGCTACTGTTTCCACGTAAACCCATTGACTAGAATAAGAATTAGATTTTATTATGCACATGCGCATTTATTTATATATTTTTTCGGTAGGAATGCAAATCAGAGTGATTGTCGATTGAAGAGATGTGTGTCCACGTCAAACGCCTCGCACTTTAGATCTTCACGTAGATTCGCGTGCTCACGACATCACCAACCTGAACGACCTGCACGGAAATAAAGAAAGGCGTTTGCAAACACGAGAAGGCAGGCGGATGATGAAAATTGGGATGGAGATGACTTACCGTTTTCAGTTGGTTGCCCTCAACGACACGATCGATATAAGTGGTTTTCTCGCCAACCTGAACCTGTTTCAGAGTGCCGCCTTTAATCGTGATGGTGGATTTGACAGTCCTGCCGTCTGGAGTTTCCTCCTCGAACTCCTCACCCAACTTAAATTCAAACTCGGTCGTCTTGAAGGTGCTTTCCGACCGCATTTTGTACTTACAACCTTCAAGCCTGGAAACAGTAAAGGTGGGTTTTGAGATTCTGTAGACTTGGCGTGTGAGGAAGCCCACTCCGAGTTCTTTCAGCACATTGTCGAAATTCTCGCTCGTTTCCAACTGCCACGACCCCAGAAACGGCTCCATCAGTCAATCAACTCCACAAATCACTGAGCATCGGACACGATTCACCTTAAATAGCTCTCACTGAATGCGCGCGAGGGATAGCACTCTCACATGGTTCGTGGAGGACGCTAATTATCTATAATAAA